GGGAGGTGCAAAGCGCTGCTGCACGGGGACGTGGTGCCGGCTAGGGTGCAGGGCGGCGTAATGCTCGGCAGTACTGGCCGTTCCGAGGGAGAGCTCGGGAGTGGTGCGAGGAGAGGGAATCGAGGTCGGCGGTGGGGACTTTGTTTTGGTTTTTCTGTATTTCTCTGACTTTGATGGCCAGACAAAGTCGGGATATAGAATCTTGTGCTCGATAAAGGCTTTTTCGGCTTCCAGCTCAAACTTTTTTCGAACGGCAGGGTCTTCTTGCCGCCAGAGGGCAGAGGCGATGCGTGAAATATCGGCATTCTTGGAGACACCGTGTTCATCAATAATGCGCTGCCTCACTGCCTGTTTGTAGCGGAAAAAGCAGTTCATTGGCTTCTTGTGTGGTTTGGGCGTGGGTTTCTTGGAGACGGATGGCCGAGACGGCTGCTCTGGATGGATCAAGGCCTCGAGACCAGGGGCGGATGGCGATTTCATAGTCACTGGTGTTGACGCAGAGTTAAATGCAAGCTTTATAGTGCTTTAGGCAACCTCCGAGCACAAGTCTGAGTCAAAGGAGCGCGACAGAGAAACCGAACACAAAAACGCTTTGCAGTTCTGTGCTCAGCGGGTCCGGTAGTCAGCACAACACTGGCCTCTCGTTTGACTGGCTGGAATGAAACCCCCAATGCGACAGACTGGAATCCTTACGCGCTCTCCGCAACGCATTTCATTCAAGCATGTCTATTGCCTCCGTATCCCACGGGTAACCGCCCGGCACACTAACACTCCAGATACGTCTTTGGGTTAACAAACACAATACGTGACAATGTTTTTTATCTCGAGGAAAACACCATTCTGTACCCTGCGGGGAGTAACGTGATGAGTGCGACGGAGGAGAGCTGACCAACTAGTTACCAACGTTGACCAGAAATCGCAGCGATTTATACCAGTCTCGGATGTGGGCGACTCTATCACAGCCTTGACCGTCTCTCCCGACCGACACGTCTTTGCGGTGGCCCAAAAGTCCTCCCTGGAGGCGTCCATTCATATCTACGACCTGCATACGTTTCGAAAGAGAAGGAAGGTGACTGCTCCAAAGGGAATCACGGTATCGGCGGCATTCAACTGACCGCAGGAGTTTGTTGCGCTTTCGTTCTCGGCAGATGGAAAGTTTCTGGCGGCACAGGCCTCCCGACCAGAGTGGACGCTGTTTTTCTATCCCTGGGAAAAGGGAAAGCCGCTGGCCACGGCAAACGCTTCGCCCTCGCCGGAACAGCCCGTCCACCAGGTGTCGATCAATCCGTTTGACAGCAACGAGATCCTGGTCACCGGAAAGGGGATTGTGACTCTCTATCGCTACTCGGAAGGCTCGTTCAATACCATCTCGATTGATGTGCCCGCCCAGGTATGGCTGTGGGGCTCACTTGCCAGAACTATGTCCGCCACTGCTGGATTAGTCTGGAAAAGTTTGTGTTGGCCTCGCTAGAGGGACAAATCATACTGGTCGAGAACGAGGTGCCCGTCCAGGCCGAAACGTTTGGCCAGGGCGAGGCTATCCACAGCATGGCCCCGACAAAGTACGGGATTGCCGTTGCCGGCACGGGCGGATGTGTTGTTGTGTACAACTTCCTGACGTTCCGAGACTCGGGGCCGTTCCAGATTGTCCAGCAGGTGTCGATTCCCGATCCGTCTCTTGCCGTCACCGGCCTCACCTCGGCGCTCGGCGAAGACATTGTGCTGCTCCAGCTGAGCTCCAACCAGGTCTTCAAGATGGCGCTGACCGGACCAACGGACGCCAACGTCTCGCCGTCGGCAGAGGAGGCGGCAAAGGTGGAGCCGTACATGGAGTCGTACCACTGCGGGGCCATAACCGGACTGGATTTGTGCGTCCGCAAGCCGCTGCTGGTGACCTGCTCGTCCGACAAGTCCATTCGAATTTGGAACTACTTGACCGGAACGTGCGAGCTGATGAAGTACTTTGGCGACGAGCCCCAGTCGATATCTCTGCATCCGTCGGGGCTGTATCTCTTGGTGGGGTTTAGCGACAAGCTGAGGCTGATGAACATTCTGATGGACGACTTGCGACCGGTCAGGGAATTCAGCATCAGAGCATGCAAAAAGGTACGCAGCCGAGGCTCAAGCTAGTGCGTGTTTGCCAACGGAGGACACTTGTTTGCCGCCGTGCATGGCAACGTGGTCCAGATCTTTTCGACGTGGACCTTTGAAAACATTGAGAATCTCAAGGGACACAACGGAAAAGTAAAGTCGCTCTACTTTACTCCGGACGACTCCTCTCTGGTTTCGGCAGGCAGCGACGGAGCGGTGTACACCTGGAACATGCGCCAAATGAAGCGAGAGAACGAACACATCCTCAAGAGCTGCAGCTACTACGACGCCGTCTGCTCTCCCAACGGAAAGGTGATGTACGCCGTCGGCACCGACAAGCTGGTCAAGGAAATCACAGAGTCGATCGTGACCAAGGAGTTTGAGGGGAGCCAGGCCATGACGCAGATTGCGCTGTCCAATTCGGGAAGAATGCTGTTTGTGGGAACCCACACCGGCACCATCAGGGCCCTCCGGTTTCCGTTTGGCGACCAGCACGACTTCCAGGAGCACCAGGCACACAACGGCCCGGTCACCCGACTGAAAATATCCTACGACGACCAGTATTTGTTTTCCACCGGCGAGGACGGCTGTCTTTACATGTACAAGCTGACAGACAAGGAAGACCGATCCAAAAAAGAAAAGGCGAGCGTGTTTGCCGATGAGGTGCGCTCTGTGACAGCTCACGTGTAGATTCTGATCACCAAGAGCGATCTGGAGGAAAAAACAGTGCTGATGGGGGAGATCCAGCGACAGCTGGACGAGCTGAAGCTCGAGCACGAGTACCAGCTCCGTCTCAAGGACATGAACTTTAACGAGAAGCTCAAAGAGGTCACCGAGACGTACAGCCAGGAGATCGAGTCGCTGAAGGTCTCCACGTCGATCTTGCGGACGGAAAAAGAAAAAGAAGACGTCAAGCACCAGGAGCAAATCCAGAATCTCAAGACGCGGTACGTCTCGGAGCTCCACGAGATCGACATCAAGAACAACGGCGAGCTCATGTCGGAGTATGAGAAATACCAGCAGCTGCAGAACAAAACGGGCGTGCTGCAGGAAAAGTGGCAAAAGCAGATGCGAGAGTTCGAGCTGCAGACACAGAAGGCGCTTTCTGAAATGCAGGCTACGGCCGAAGGCCGTCTGAATGCCAAGTCGCTGGACATCCAGCGGCTGATTGAGGAGCTGAAGGAGCAGGAAAAGGAGTTCCAGGAAATGAACAAGCAAAACCAGCAGGACATTGACTCGGAGATTCTCTTGACCAACTCGAGGTACGAAAAGAAGCTGCGCGCAGAGCGAGAAGAAGGGGCCCGGCTCAAGGGCGAGAACGGCATCATGCGAAAAAAGTTCAACACGCTCAACAAGGACATTGAAGACAACCGCGCCGAAATCCAGCGCATGAAAGAGAACGCCAAGAAGCTCGAGAACGTCATTGCGCTGCTGGAAAAGGACATTGTCCATCTGCGCAAGGAAATGGCCGACCGAGACGAGCACATCCAGGACAAGGAGCGGAAGGTGTACGATCTGAAAAAGAGAAACCAAGAGCTGGAAAAATACAAGTTTGTGCTCGACTACCGAATCAAGGAGCTCAAGGAGCAGGTGGAGCCGCGGGAGAACCACATTGCCGAGATGTCGGGCGAGATCCAGCACATTAATGAGAATCTAAAGTCCCTGAACAAGGAGAAGCAAAAGTACGAAGAGACGATTGAAAAATACAAGTCGTCGCTGGTGGTGACCCGAGAAAAGGCCGTCCGGGAGCACCAAAAGGTGCAAAACATAAGCCGATACGCCAAGGGCTTCAAGTCTGATCTGGAGGACGTCATCTTGTACTTCCAGGACGCCGTGCTGCTGCGAAAGATGGCCGAAAACTTTTACAAAAAGTACGGTGCTACCACGCTCTCTCTGGACGACCTCAAGGGAAGCGATGCCGCCGACGACCTGCAGGTCATCAAGGAGTACCGCGCGCATCACGAGCACCTCAAAACCGAAATTGCCGGCCTGCGGAAGGCGGCGGAAAAGAGCGCCATAACGTTTCGCAAAGCAAGCGTCCACACCATGTCGGAGAACCAGTCGCTCATCAAGGAAATTAACCAGCTGCGGGGTAGGTCTTGCAGATCTCATGTCTAGATGTGCCAAAGAAAACGGTGCTGCCCAAGCTGAAGCTAGCTACATAGATTTCGATTCATTAAACAAGTGTTTTTTGTAAAACTCGAGTTCTTGGATCGACTCTATGATGTCGTCGAGAGCCCGATGGGTCGCTCGTTTGGGAGGCATCTGCGAAAGAATGTCGCTCGACCAGCGCTTGGCCAGCTCCTTGATGGTTGAGACATCAATGATTCGGTAGTGCAGATGCTCCACAATCCGAGGCATGTCCTGGCACAAGAACTGGCGATCGACATGGACGCTGTTGCCGGCAAGGATTCCCTGGCGGGGCTCTGGGATGTGTTGCTTGATAAAGGCCAGCACCTGCTCCTCGGCGTCCTTGAGACTAGTTTTGCTGTCGAGCACCTGGGCAGTCAGTCCCGACTGGCCATGGTGCTTGGTGCACCAGGCATCCATGGAATCCAGCAGTTCCTTTGGCTGGTGGATGATGATGTTTGGGCCTGATAGTTAGCAGCCCACGACCAATCCATCTAATTCCAGTAGTTTACTCACCCATAATCCGAGTGGTTAAATGGTCGTTTGTGAGAACCACGGCAATCTCGATAGTTTTGTCGTGGCCCAAACGCAGTCCAGTCATTTCCATGTCAATCCAAACCAGTGTTATTTGACTCATTTTAAGACGTGATTTGAGTCAATGCTGAAACTGTCGCTGTGTTGATTCTTGTTGCGCAAACTTGATTTGGGTCAAATCCTGTCAAAAAGAAATCTATTTCTTTGTTTGCTTGTCTACGGACAAAAACTGCTTCATTCAACGAGCCCAGCTAGCTCAATCGGTAGAGCATACGACTTTTAATCGTAAGGCTGGGGGTTCGAGTCCCCCGTTGGGCTTTCTTTTTGGCTTTTTCTCGATACTGCATGCCACACAGCCGAGGCAGCAAGTCTTGCCCTTGCAGCGAACGGGAGGGCTCCGGATGGCCTCACCAATCTGCATCGGCCACTTGCTGCCTGGTCTCGTGATCAAGGGCGGGTCGGCAAAGCAGAAAAGCTAGACCCTGAGAGGACAAACGTTCTCCAATAGAGTATGACCACGTTTACATTGGCGCAAATTGCCTCCCATAACAAGGAGGACGATGTCTGGATTGTTGTGCACGGAAAGGCATGGCCACGACGACTGACGCCAGGTGTACGATGTGACGCCGTTTCTGAACGAGCATCCAGGAGGGAAAAAGGTAGGACGGCCGGCTGACCAGAGATTCTCGTCAAAGTGGCCGGCCAAGATGCCACCAAGCAATTCGACAATTTCCACAACAAGGCCATCTTGGACAAGTGGGGGCCGGCACTCTACAAGGGCGACGTCGGCAGCGATGCCGTTGCCAAGCCAGAAGAGCCTGAAGAGCCGCTCCAGGGCCTGGAAGAGGTACACGGCTGGGGCTGATCGACAGGGCGATGCGTTTGGAGACGGCATTCCCTTTGGCGATCCCTACTGGTATTCCGACTGGGGCTCGCCGTACTACAACGACTCGCACCGAAAGCTGCGAGCCTTGATCCGCAGATGGGTCGAGACAGAGGCCATGCCGTTTATCCACGAGTGGGACGAAAAAAAGCAGATCCCCCGAGAGGTGTTTGTCAAGGCCGCCAAGGCTGGAATTCTGCAGGCCCTGCTGGGAAGCCACGTGGAGGAAAAGTATCTGGAGGTGCCGTATCCCGGCGATGTCCCACACGACAAGTTTGACCATTTCCACAACATGATTGTGTGTGATGAGCTGTCCCGCACCGGATCTGGCGGGTTCCTGTGGGGGCTGATTGGAGGTATCGCGACCGCCTCACACCAGGACTGGGCATCGGTCTCCCGCCAGTTGTGCTCTTTGGCAGCGACTATCTCAAGGACAAGGTCGTCAAGGACTGTCTGGCTGGTCGCAAGAATATCTGTCTGGCTATCACCGAGCCATCGGGCGGCTCTGATGTGGCCAACCTGTAAGCAACGACTGGCTGACGGGATAGCGTCACGGAGGCAAAGAAGAGCTCGTGTGGAAAGTACTATGTTCTCAACGGAGAAAAGGTTGGCGGCCGGCTCTCACGCGATTGCAGAAATGGATCACGAATGGGACGTTTGCGGACTACTTTACGGTCGCCTGTCGAACTGGAAAGGCTGGGGTGTCTGGTATTTCGCTGCTGCTGGTGGAAAAGACCATGCCTGGAGTCAAGACCCGCCACATGCCTTGCTCTGGAGTGTGGGCTTCTGGAACGGCATATATTACTTTTGAGGACGTCAGGGTTCCGGTGGAAAACCTGATTGGCGAAGAAAACCAAGGATTCAAATCCATCGTGTTCAACTTTAACCACGAGCGTATGGGGATTGTCATCCAGGCAACCCGCTTTGCCCGCGTCTGCTACGAAGACAGCGTCAAGTATGCCCACAAGCGAAAGACGTTTGGAAAGAAGCTGATTGACCATCCCGTCATCCGAAACAAGCTGGCCCACATGGCCCGCCAGATTGAGGCCACGCACGCCTGGATGGAGGCGCTGATTTGGCAAACCATCGCCATGCCCGACGATCTGCAAATGCAAATGATCAAGCTGGGAGGTATGTGCCGTGACACTCACTGCAGGGCCGATTGCGCTGCTCAAGGCCCAGGCGACTCAGACAATGGAATACTGTGCCAAAGAGGCGGCACAAATTTTTGGCGGCCTGGCGTATTCCAGAGGCGGGCAGGGGGAGCGGGTCGAGAGATTGTATCGCGAAGTGCTGGCATACAAAATCCCCGGCGGAAGCGAAGAAGTATGCCAATCAGACTCATGTCATAGATAATGCTGGAGCTGGGAATCAGACAGTCGCTCAAAGTGGCCCAGCTCTTTGGCGGAGCAAAGCTCTAGTCGGTATTAGTTTGGCCGCCTGCCGAAATAAAGGTTGCGTGTGATAAGAGTCCCGTTGAAACTCTGATGGCCATCAAGTCCCGAGTTGGGCTCCATTTACCGAAAAGCATCAGCAAAACGGTTTCTCCGTCCAACCAAATTCCATTTGGGACTTTGGACAAGAGCAGCCGGCAGGCATAGGAAGGCACACTGCGAATGCATTGATTGTCTGCCATGTGAAATGGCTGCAATAATCCCTCCTTTGGTGGAACGCGGTCGTGGCCGTCCCGAATAGGTAACGTGCAGCGAGGTTTCATAATTTATTGCCGCACTCTCGGCCCATGTGAAATGCTTTATTTTCACCGCTCGAATCAGTTATAAATAGCAAGACTCCGCCCTCGCTTTGACACAGCTCTTACACACTTTCATCATGGCCCGCTCGACATACATCAACATGCAACCAAGCCCTGCTCTGTCCAAGAAGGAAAACCGCAAGATTTCACACAGCATCATTGAAAGGAAACGAAGAGAAAAGATGAATGTCTGTCTCTCGCAGCTGTGCAAGCTGGTGCCCAGCTGTGTTGGCGAGGAAGAGTCGCTGCAGAAGCTCACCATCTTGGAGCGCACCGTCGACTACATCATGGCCCTTCAGGGAATGCCTCTAGATGCCCGCGAAGGTCTTTACACTCCCCCATCGCCCACTCTTTCGCACGAAGAGCCTTGCTGCGACCTTCTGTCCCGGTCAAATCCCATGGCCATCGCCAACCTGCTGTGTTAAACAATCATCATCCTCATTTTTATTCATGTTTTACATTAAAGCACATTGTACCTACAGTTCCCGCGTCGGCCCGTCAGCGCATGCACTTGCTTTTCCGCCATCTCACTGCTTCATGCTTGGAGTCTTTTGGGATTCAATTCGCCGCCCATGTGAAAGATGCGACACGCTCTGAAAAATCGTGGTGATAAGAGTGCTTTGGTTATTAACCCGCAGCGCACGACGTATTCCTTTGATTGGACATCATTGCCCCATGCGGTACAGCCTGTCTCGGAGGTTGCTTTCGGCTGCACTGTGCCACAACTCTCATTTGACTGGCTCCAGCAAGGCACTGTCTCGGAGAGTGGGGCCGGTGTGTTCACCTTGTTCTCAGCACTGCGCTGCCTGGTGCATGTTGAGACGGCGATGCTCCCTGCGGGCTGACTCGATCGTGTTAGCACAGCGGACGGCCGCAGGAAAGAGCAGGCTAGCAACGGTTCGTTTATGATAAAAGATTTTGTACAGACATGACAGAAGGGCCTTTGGCGGCAGAGTTGGAATCTAGGGGGACCGACACACCTTTGGCCGAGTCGAATGACGGTGCAGAGTCAATGTCGGTGTCATCGTCTTGCACAGACAGATTGGCAAACCCGGCCAGATGCGCGGGTGGCCGATACGACGGCAGCAGTGCCAGCAGTGCATGTGTACCCTGCATTTTGGGTTCTGACGACGAACTCTGCGGGGGTTCCTGCCGCTGCGGAGTCAGCTTGTCGTTCTCCTGCTTTAGGTATTGGATGTACCGAATGGCGGAATTTAAAATATCAACCTTTTCTCTGGCCAAGCAGTTGGGAATGGAACCTTTGAGCTTCAGCAGCGTTTCCTGCAGCTTCTGCCGTCTCCGCTTCTCAATGGCGCTGTGATTGCTCTTTCGAACCCTTTCTTCCTCCTCCAGCTGCGACGCTTCGCTGTTTTGCGACGAATACCCTCCAGAAGTGTGTCCAGTGCCGGCTGCCGACCGAGGAGAGTGCGGTGCTGTCATGGGATAGGGCGACATTTTGGGTGAAGTTGGTTTCATCGTTCCAACAGTCGGGTAAGGGTCGAGTTGAATGTTTTTGCTGATGAGGTCGTTTGCCTCCTTGTGAGGCACATGTGAGGCCCCCGTCCAAGTGCCATCAAGCGCTACCGTCCTACCACAGCATCTGCCAGTTCGGTCTCGATGAGTCCAGCTTTGACGAGTCCAGCTTCGACGAGTCCAGTCACGACGAGTCCCGTCCGTGCCAGTCTGAATCTGGGCATTGCGCGGTCGCCGGCGGCGCTGCATGCAGCGTCAGGAGTTGCGGCCAGCCAACCAGACTTTGGGACGGTGGTCTTGTGCCGTGCGCCGGTTAGTGACGCCGAGAAGGGTCAGTTGATAGTGGTCACGCAATGGAGCCTGATCACTTGAAAATTCATCGGGCCAACGAAACATCAAGATTATATTACAAAGGCAACAGCTCTAAGATAGCAAACTGGAGACACGCATGTGCTGGTGTCTCGGCTTGGGTGCAGCGGGGGCGGAAAAGTGCTTGGAGGAGGCCATGCCGGCTGGCGGTCGATAGTTGGGCAGCAGCGTCATGATGGTGGACTTGCTCGTGTTGGGCAGGAAGGGGCTCACAATTGGGATGAGCTGGGGATCTTTTTGCTGGTACTCGGTCAAAAGGGCCTGGACCTGCTTGATGTATTCGGCAGCGCCTTTCAGTATGTTGAGCTTTTCGCTTTCGTCCCGCACCTGCATGGCAGGAACCAGAGCCTTGAGCACCTGCAGCTCGGCATCAATCTTGTGCCGCCGTTTTCGTTCGATCTAGACGTGAGGGCCAACAGTCCTACCTCGGAGTGGGTGGTGCGTCGCTTGGATTCCTGGGTCTCCCAGCGATCCGGGAGCGGCGGAGAGGCCTTGACGGGGCTCTTTGTGTACTTTGGCATGAAAGGGAGCAACGTGGGCCTGATTTGCTGCGTCTTTTTAAGCCAGCTGGTGAATGACTTTTTGTTTCACATGATGAGCGTCAAACAGATAACAAAGCGGTGCCGGCCAGGGTACCAGGACATCACGAGATGACGAAAACAGAGTCACATTGGAAGGGATTAGACCGCTCGAAGGGTGTTGGATGAGCCTCACACCGTCAGCTCCACTGCTGAATAACCCTGTACTTTGCCAGTCACTCTGAGCCTTGGTGGCGGGTCTGGCCGTGGTGGTGCTGCATTTTCATTCACTGCGATAGAAACACATGAGCAGAAGTGGTCG